CACGAACCTGCACGTCCATGCAGTGTGTTTGCTCTTTCTGGAAGCCTGCCTCTGTGGACTTGCCTTCCCCAGCCCTTCCTGCAACTTGGTGCCTTTGCTCAGGGCTCCATTCCAGGCTTCAGCTGCCAGATTCCAGGTCACGTAATCACAGCAGAGGCCATGGAGGTGACTGTGAGGTCAGAGGTCATCTTTGGCAGGTTTGCAAGTCAAGGGGAGTCTACCTGGCTGCTCACACAGCTCAGCCTCTTTTTGCAGCTCATATTTTTTATTTCCAAATTTGATATCTTAAAAAAAAAAAAAGACAATCTCTACATTCATGTTTATAGCAGCTCACAGCCCCAAACTGAAATAAGTCCAGGTGTGCTCCAGCAGGTGAGCAAATAACCTGTGGTCCGTTCATACTGTGGAGTAGCATGCTGCCAGCAAGAGGAGACAAGCATGGACCGGGCACCTGGGAAGTGTGCCAAGCGAGAAAGCCCATCCCAAAGGCTACATCGTACCACACTATCCCTTTTAGATCCCACTTATCTAGTGTTAAGGAAAGGACAGCATTTTAGAAACAGGACAAATTAAGGGCTGCCCAACATGAGCGGTGGTGGGGCTGGGGGAGGGAGGGAAGTGGGCGTGGTTCCAGGAGGGTGATGCCAGGGACCCGCTCGGGGTCTGACACACCAACCCACCCGTGATTACACTGTGTACAGCCTGGCACACAACCGAGCGCACTCGCACCGGGGACCCGGGAAGGAGACGGTGCGTGGTCTCCAGGTCGCCATCCTGGCTGTGAGACTGTGCTACAATTTTGCAAAATGTTACCATTTGGTGGGATGTGGGCAAAGTACACAAGGTGTCGCTCTGCATGGGACTATGGGACTCTACAATCATCACAATAAAAAATTCAATTAAGCAATAACATCCACAAACAAGCTAAAATTTAATACAATAAACTCCAATTTTTCACCTCATCTCTGCACCTCCACGGAGATGCACTGTCAGCATCTCATCACATTTGCCTCTCTCTCTGCATCCCTGTTTGCATGTATGTTTATATCCGAAAGTACGTTGAAGAGGTCCAGGCACTTCCCCCCAAAACAGTTCAGCACCTCCTAAAATGATGACCTTCTCCTACGTAATTGTAACCCGTCCCCGTAACCAACAACCAAACAGTCTTGGGTTCAAGAACACTATCTGATACACGGCCCACATTAGACTTTCCCTTGTCCCCAATGGTCCTTAAGAGCTGGTTGTCACATTGGTTTGTCGGTCATCAGTTTACACTCCTTTAATCAGCCTCTCTCTGTCCATCTCGGGTTTGTTTTAACTTTACACAACAGTGGCATTTTTGAAGAGTCCAGACCTGTTCCCTTTAGAATCTTCCACGGGTTGTTCTTCCCGACCCTGTCCTGGGGTTAAACGTTTGGAGTGTGACGCA